GTAGAATATAAATGATCGCAAGGTTTAACCCACTATGAGAAGAAAGGGTACCATGAACTTGTGTCCATCTTGTGAGTTACTGATGAAAGTGTCAGCTGACTTCCTGTTGCAGCTGAGATAATATTCTGGAAGCCCAGCTAAGGGACAAGCATGCCTTGTACCTGTGGAAGTGCCAGATGGGTACCGGGGCCTGTGGCAGATGAGGAGCAGGAGGCTGTGGTGTCCTGGAGCAGAGCCACGCTGGCTGTACAAGGGGTGCACAGGCAGGTGACCAGCAGACAGAGTCCAGCCGTAGGGGCCCAGCAGTCTTTGAAGTCATGGCTGGCTGGTTGGTGGAGAAAAACTGTTCCCAAACCAGGAATTAGACTGAGACTGAGGCAGAAAAAGGACACTATATCATATTTGGCCAGTGTTGTCAACAGACCATATTTCTCTCTATCTCCCTCTTTTAACTCGGATAATGCAAATTTTTATGTAGTTATATTTTTATAAGAAAGTCGAATTCCGTGAATTGTAAATATTATGTTTGAAGGTGATGTTGGTGATACTCACTTAGAATAAATCCTCCTATTGGGCAATAATGCCTCAAGTTGTTAATACTTTTTTTTTTTTTTTGCTTATTGACATCTACCAGGAATGTAGACCCCAGAGGTCATAAAACAAAACAAAACAAAAGCCCAGATTCCAGGGGAAGTTCTACACCAATCCAATTTAGCTTGATAACACAGCAACTTTTTTCTTCCTTCTTTTTTCTCCTTTCCCCATTTTTTTGTCTGGAATCTGCTTTCTGTGAGATTTTTCCCTAAGAATAACTGCGGAAGTGATTTCTGCCTCTTTCTCTCCCCCTCACTCGCTCAGCTCCAGCCACAGGCCTTCTTGCTGCTCCTGGAACATGCCAGACACGGTTCTTTCCCCAGGGCCTTTGCGTGATCGCTCCCGCCTGGACTGCTGGCCTGATATCTGCCTGTCTTCCTCACTCCCTGCGGGCACTTGCTCAGAAGTCACCTTTTCGGGAGGTCTTCTTGTTTAAAATTTTGTTACCTATTCCTCTTTGCAGCTTTTGTTTTTTTTCCACTGCACTTAGAAACATATATATTTTGTTTATTTTGCATTGCCTGTCTGCTTCCCTTTCTCCCACTAAAATATAGACTCCAGGAAGGCGGACTTTTTTTTTTTTTTTTTTGCCCTGTCACCCAGGCTGGAGTGCAGTGGCCGGATCATAGCTCATTGCAGCCTTGAACTCCTAGGCCCAAGTGATCCTCCCACCTCAGCTTCCCTCATAGCTGGGGCTGCAGGTGTGAGCCACCGTGTCCAACCTAGGGCAGGCGTTTTTATCTGTTTTGTTTGGTGTGCGCTCAGGACCTAAAAGAGTGGCTGGCACAGAAGAGGTGTTGAATATACAAATGAATATCGAGAAAGCGTGAGAACTAACGTTCGTAACTTGTTCCTCCTTTTGCCTCCTTCTTTAAACAGTTGAATGTCTCCAGAGTAGCCACAAAACCTTTCCAGATGTGGGGAAATGGGGCTGTTTCAAAGCCGGTTGCAGATTCAAGCATATACACCTTTTGCAGATTCCAGATCAGATGCAGATTAGATTTCAGCTCTGCTCCCCATGCACCAGCCTTTTCTTTAATGAAAAATATTTTAAAAGTATAAGTTTCAGGTTAAATAGATTCAGAATCATTTCAGCGTATTTTCTAAAGCAGAGAAATAAAGCGTTTCCTCAACAACTCAGTTCACCGCATGTTTTCCAAGCCCCTGCCGTGTGCCGAGCTCCCTGTGCTAGGCCTTGCAGAAACACACCGGAGAAAAGCTAAGTCCCAGCTCGTAAGTGCCTCAAGATTGGGAAGGAGGTAGAAGGTAAGCAAAGAGAAGTAGAATAGAAGGCAGAATTTGGTAGCTGTTTGGTTTTATGATAGAATTCTTGTTTCTGCTTCAACCTCTGGCTCTTGTTTTCATATGAACCCATACTTTTATGAAGACAGACTCTCATGACACCCTCAGAGGCTTCCGCTGTACTGCCTCCCAACCCAGCCCCACCCGCCACAGGAAGGGAAAGGGGGAAGTGCAAGGTCAGAGCAACACGGAGGGGCACTGGGGGCCTTGTGCTTGTTCAGACTGCAGCTGACATGCAGGATAAACCCTGCCTGGAGCGGGCAGGGGAACCTACTTGGAACCCTGCCAAACTGCCAGCCCCAGCTCAAGGAGCAGGGAGAAAGATGTGCTTACGCTGGCTCTCCAGAACTGGCACGATCAGCCAGACGGAGCCCAGGAGGACTGGTTCAGTCTCAGGGCATCCTGTGTCCCCTACTAGTTCAGGTAAGGGTACCCCGTGGCCTTGGGGTAGTCGGTTCTCAAAGACAATCAGCACATTATGAATATTTTCATAAGCAGTTTTGGAGAAAAGAAAAAGTCTATACGAACTTGCTTGCGCAGAAGCTAATTTTGTGAGCTGATTTTTCTCCCCTGGGCTCTATGTTTATAAATGAAGAGGAAGGAGTGAACATCCTGAAGTGGTATTCAGCCTGGGGAATAGGAGCCTGACACCTGTGCAAGGCTGTCCACAGTGACAAGGGCCACATCAGAAGATCCGAGTTCTAGGGGAGTTCCTAAAGGGGACATCAGCCCTGGGTTGGGCAATCTGGAAAAACTTTGGGGAAGTGGTATCTAGTACAGCTCTTAGGCACAGGCAAGAGAAGCCCCGGATGTGAATCCCCACATTCAGAGAGCCCCACTCTGGCACTCTACAATCCACCAAGGGAGATGGCACCCTGTGTCTGTGCCCCTCCACTCTAGACTGTACTCCAGACACCCAGGAACCTGGAGTCCCCTGCCCAGATGACTCAGGGCTGCTGAGGTCTACACAGCAAGCTCTTCTTTGGGTCCATCCTCGTAAGAGTAGACTGTGCTGCTTGTGAGGGACCCGCAGGGCCTGAGGGGTGGCCAAGAGGTAGTGTTTGTGGATGGAGCTTGAATGAGAGACCAGGGGTATTTAAATGTGGGCACAAGGCCCTTGGCAGGGCAGGATGGAGCCCAGAGTGGGAAAAGAAGGAGGCAGGTCTCTGGCCGAGGGCTGGGGCTGGAGAGTGGAGGTCAGCTTTCTCTATCCAGAACTTCACAAAGTCTGAGATTTTTCCAATTTAAACTTGCCCTTCAGGGTCACATGGAAGCCATTTCTCAAGGTAGGAGGATAGACCATATTTAACAGTTTGTTAGCTTGATTTATTCCTTTTAAATATCTGTATCTCTGGTATGTGAGCCTTCATTTGTCATCTTGACTCAGCTATGCAGATGTCAAGGCTGGTCCTGGGAGTGTTTTTGGAGGTGGGTTTTGATGACTGGGAAGGATTTAGATGGGTCAGAAATGGCAGGAGGTAACAAGACAAAAGGCAACAGCAGGAGTGAAAATCTGGATTTACAAAGAAGACAGAGGGTCTTTGCTTCACTGGAGGATTCATGATAAGTTTCTTTTCAGCAAAGAGCTCCTCTGATACCTTAAAGACATGATTCAATTGTTCAACTTTTAGTTAATATAGAACTTTTCATGTATGATCTTATTACTTAAAATCAATTGTCTGTATCATGCTATGGAAAGCTCCTGGACACGATGTGTGTGGGAAGTTTGACTTGACTACATCTGCTCCCCCTCCAAGCCTCTTCTCTACCATGACTGTCGTAACGGATTCTCAACCTTTTGGTCAAAAGAAGGATCTAGGATCAGTTTCTCACAGGCACTGTCAAAAAAGCACAGTCTCTCCTGGTGGCATTTATATTTTAGTTTTAATGTTGGAAAGCCTTTTTCGACTACTAAATTTCATGCCTTCACAAAAAGACAAGCACAGTATTGTTGAGGTGAGGGCTCCTCCCTGCATCGGGATGGCAAATGATAAGGTGGAGGTGAGAAGGTGTTTCCAGACAGCAGTGGGTAGAATAGGGGAAGAACACCATCGTTGCTGCGTGACTTCTGTCTGCCAGCTCTTTGGCATGACATGGGGGCTGTGGCTTCCTCAACCTGGGCTCTTCCTGCCTCTCAGGGGTTACCTCTCCTGTCCTCTCTGTGACATTGTGCTCCGGCTGTCCTGGGTCATCTGGTTCCTAGGCATGCTCCACCCTGCTCCCCATCCCTGACCCCCATATCCCCTCCCAGCCCCTGAGCCTGTTCATCTCCTTCCTGTACCTGAGCTCTCCCCTAGACATCACCGCAAGGGCCCATTCCAGCACAGATCCCATCACGAATCCATCACGCCACTTTGAAACCACCTTGTCTATCTCCACCAGACCCTGAGCTCTCTGCCGAGCTGAGAGTTCAAGGTGAGAGTGGCAGAGAGGGCCAGACAGTTGTGTTTCACATTAGTTTACTTTTAACCTTACTGATTATTACAATCCTTAGAGCGATATTTAGCCATTAGAAAAAGTAGAACAAGAATGAGAAAATGGTTAACAGCGGTGGCTTGGTGTAACAGGAAAAGCATTGTGTTTTTAAAAAGTTTTCTCAGGAGGCCTGAGTCCTTGTGGGGGTCTTGCTCTGACTGACCCGGTGTGTGTGTGTATGTATTTGTGTGTATGTGTTTGTGAATGTGTATATGTGTATGCCCACACCTGCACGCACAGGGGTGGAGTGGGCATCCTCATTTATCCACCCAGAGGCTTCTTCGGTAGAATAAGGGGCTGCGGTTTGCAGGGTTTTCAATCCCATAAGGACAGCACCCGCCAGGGGCCCAGTGACTGGTCCTTCCAGAGCAGCGCTCTATGCTTTGTTTAAAGATGAGATTACCTTGTAAAATTTCATCCTAAATTTCCACATCTGAGCAAAAAGTCTCCAAGTCATGGGGCTGCAGCTCCAAAAGTCCCCTCTAGGCCCTAATTGCTGGAGTTCTATAATTCTGTGAGAAGAGATGGCAGCTGGGGCCAGGGAGGCACGGGTGTGGGGTCAGGGGAATGCCGTTTACGGGCTGGGATGGTCTGTGACTCTGCATTTCCCTTCTTTGCATCCTTCCCAGGGACTCACTCTCTGAGATATTTTCGCCTGGGCGTTTCGGATCCTGGCCAGGGGCTACCTGAGTTTATTTCAGTTGGCTACGTGGACTCTCACCCTATCACCACGTATGACAGCATCACTCGGCAGAAGGAGCCAAAGGCCCCGTGGATGTCAGAGAACCTCGCACCCGATCACTGGGAGAGGTACACGCAGCTGCTGAGGGGCTGGCAGCACGCGTCCCTGATGGAACTGAAGAACCTGCAGAGGCACTACAACCACTCAGGTGTGAACGTGGCAGACAGAACGCTGTCCCCACCAGCCCCCACCCAGCAGACGGGACCCTGGGCTGACCTCCAGAGAGAGCAGCTGCTGACTTACACTTGCCGTGGCTTCTGGCAAAGCCTGGGAAGCCGGGTTGCTGAGTTAGTGCCTCCCATCTGCCCTGTGCCTCTTCCCAGTGGTCCGTCTCCTCCCCAGAAGCCCTCTGCCTGCCCTGCCCACCCCCACCCCATTCCCATTCAGGCTCTGACAGGCGACTTCTCCTTTCCCATCCTAAGCCTGCCCAGTCTGTGCTCACTTCCTGGTGGCCAGGCTCAGTGACCTGCTCTCTTAGCATAATGACATTAACTTTCCCAGGGATATTTCTGGCTCCTGCCTCTCTCTCCCTCCTCCACCACGCTCAGAATAGCCACAGTGTTTATCAATTAATCATCCCATGGTAGGATAACTCCCCAAGGCAGGAATTCTCTTGTTCCTTTGGGATGCGGTAGGTACTCTGCAGATACCTGTAACAGGTGGGCTTCCATAAGGGGGACCTCCTGGGGACTTAAGGATGCCATGGCAGGCCTGTGGGGGGACGTGTTAGGGCAGAGGATGCTTCCAGCCCTGAGAGCCCACATGGTCCCTATGCAGACCCTTCCCGGCTCGCGTGTGTGTTCCAGGGCTTCACACTTACCAGAGAATGATTGGCTGTGAGTTGCTGGAGGACGGAAGCGCCACGGGATTTCTCCAGTACGCATATGATGGACAGGATCTCTTAGTCTTCAATAAAGACGCCCTCTCCTGGATAGCTGTAGACAACGTGGCCCGCGTCACCAAGCAGGCGTGGGAGGCCAATCGGCACGAGTTACAGTATCAAAAGAATTGGCTGGAAGAAGAATGCATTGCCTGGCTAAAGAGATTCCTGGAATATGGCAGTGACACCCTCCAAAGAACAGGTAAAGAGAAGGAAGAAGGCTGCACCCGCATCCCCCGAACTGCGGGTTTTGTACACAACTTCCATAGCCACCCTACCCTGAAGTCCACGTCTTTAGTTGGACTACAGTGATCTGTAACTCCCCTTGAGAACGTTCCCTGGTTACTTTTTAGCAACGTCTTGACCAGATTTAGCAATTCCACTCGTCTTGACGGAGTGGAGTGACTCCAAGGGCACCTCCTTTTGGGGGCCCCAGCGAGGCGAACCCTTCCATCTCCTGTCAACAATCAGCTGGGAAATGCTTTGGGAGGTGGAGCAATTCTCACAACTGGTTTAGTTAACTAAGGGTTCACACAACAGCAGGAGTGAAAATATGGACTTACAAAGAAGACAGAGGGTCTTTGCTTCACTGGAGGATTCATGATAAGCTTCCTTTCAGCGAAGAGCTCCTCTAATACCTTAAAGACATGATTCAATTGTTCAACTTTTAGTTAGTGCAGAACTTTTCATGTATGATCTTATTATTTAATATGAATTATCTGTATCATGCTATGGAAAGCTGCTAGACACAATGTGTGTGGGAAGTTTGACTTGACTACATCTGCTCCCCCTCCAAGCCTCCTCTCTACCATGACTGTCGTAACGGATTCTCACCCTTTTGGTCAAAAGAAGGATCTAGGATCAGTTTCTCACAGGCACTGTCAAAAAAGCACAGTCTCTCTTGGTGGCATTTATATTTTAGTTTTAATGTTGGAAAGCCTTTTTTGACTACTAAATTTCATGCCTTCACAAAAAGACAAGCACAGTATTGTTGAGGTGAGGGCTCCTCCCTGTATCAGGATGGCAGATGATAAGGTGGAGGTGAGAAGGTGAGTCTTAGAAATGAGCAGGAAGCAGGCCCTCCGGTCTCTGTGTGGCTCCGTGACCCAATTTCAGCAGGAAATGTTAAGGACCGGACCATATGGAAAATTAACAGAGCAGTCACGAGGAAGCACGGTCACAAATGGATAATTCTTTGTTGTCACTGCTGGAGCCCTTCTATGATATGAATTTCTGTAGCTCCTTTGAGAGCACAACCATGACATGATCTATGACATATGTTTGTTTCTGATGACAGTCATCAAAGTGGCCTGAGTACATAAGGCAATTTGGAGCCAAAGCTGAGCAGAGATTTCTGTGTTATTTATTTGCACTAAACACAGAATTGAGTACAAGAAGTTCTAATCTCTTGCTGAATTTACTTATGAGGGACAGTCACTCACACGTTTTGTGGGTCAGTTTTCCTTGACACATAAAGGTATTTCAAAGGTTAACAGTAAACAATCCCAGCACACTTTCCAAATACTCAAAGATATATGGCTTCCCCTGCTTGGAGGATGGAGCACGACTCACACCCACATTCTTCATTACCTAGCCCACTGCCCTTGTAGGAAATACATAATATGTAAGTTTGTTGTTGATGAACCTTGGTTCTGGATCATTCTTGGTTTTAGGTGTTTACTGTAATGAAGCCAATTAAATGGGAAAGCCATGTTCTAATACTGTATGCCCAGTCCACGAGACACTTCTATTTAACTTTGGCTTTTTCCTCCTAGAGCCCCCCCTGGTCAGAATAAATCGCAAAGAAATTTTTCCAGGGATTACAACTCTCTTCTGCAAAGCTCATGGCTTTTACCCCCCAGAAATTTCCATAGTCTGGAGGAAGAACGGAGAAGAAATTGTGCAAGAAATGGATTCTGGAGACATTCTTCCCAGTGGGGATGGAACCTATCAGACGTGGGTTTCAGTTGAGCTGGATCCTCAGAGCAGTGACTTTTACTCCTGTCATGTGGAGCACTGTGGCCTCCACATGGTTCTTCAGGGTAAAGACTGGGTCATGGCTGTCTGGGGAGTGAGGCTGAGGAAAGGGTGAGCAGGAAGCCATGCTGCCTGTCCGGGAGGGGAGGATGGATTACTGTGTCCCCCAGCATGCTTTAGAATGGCTCTTGTGAATCAGCGGTTCTCACAGTCCCTGGTCCTAGGACCCCAACAAGCTTTTGTTTATGTGGGTTTTATCTATTGCTATGTACCATATTAAAAATTTAAAAATTTTTAAATTAAACATGAGAAAACAAGCACATAGTTTATTAGCCATCAGACTGGTGGGTGAGAAGCAACAGTGAGAAAGATGGTGTTGGGTTTCCCAATGATCGCAGGGACAAAGTATCAGAAAGTTAACATAGAAGGGAAAGGGGACTTGTGGATTTTTTCCTCCCTTGCTTGCTTTCAGAATCGGAAAGTGTCCCTTTGGTGATGAAAGCTGTCTCTGGGTCCATCGTTCTCGCCATTGTCCTGGCTGGCGTTGGTCTTCTAGCTTGGAGAAGAAGGCCCTGAGGTGAGACGCATGGAAGGATCCTAGGAGGCTCTCAAGAGTTTCATTCTCTGCACCTGCCACTCTAAGCTGCACTCAGAAATGGATTAGCTCTCACATTAAGATCACAGAAGGACCTGGGACAACCCTGCCACCACACAGGGGACACACAGCATGGGTAATGCTTGCAAGGAGAGTGGTCTGTTTTCATAGGTGATACCTGACATCCCCAAAGTAGCACAACTTCTGTCCAGGTGAACTGTCCCCCTAGAAGTTGGGTCAGAGAAGATACAGTCATCTTGATTTGTTTTTTTCCAAACCATATTTTTATTATTAATTACTGTTGACTTCTGAGGGATGTTGCCCTTTGTTTCAAGACTTCGGTTAACATTTTTCTATCCCAATCATATGAAAGTCCTCTTCCTTCTAAATACATTTTTCAAAACATGGAATGTTTAAGAGTAGATTCCTTTGAAAAGTGGTACTTGGAGTAGGGAAAAAGGGAAAGAGAAATAGGAGATATATAGGTTCTTGGTACTCTGGGGAAAAAATTCATTCAATAAATATGTATTAATTACCTGCTGTGTTCCAGGCACGCTACTTGTTGCTGGGATATAGGAATGAACAAGGCAGACATGATCTCTCTTGTCATAGAGCTTAGAGTCCAACTTTGTAGGGTTATTTCTTGCCTCTGACTTCACTAGTTGCTCAAGTTGATCAAAACATAATATTGATGAGACCTGGATTATGGCTTTGAACGTAGACTGGGCCAGGAGCTTGACTTTTCTTCGTAGACCTCAATCCCAGTTTAGGTGATACTGTAAGAAAACACGTTATTAGATCAAAGAAAAACCAACCCCTTTACTAGAAATTCAACTTCCAAGAGTTAGTGGGTCATTAATGTTTTCTTTAAAAATAAGGTACAGCACTAATTCCAATCCAACAAACGATAGCTAATGAAGAAAAAAAAACATTTTTTTTTTCACAATGACACATTTCTCTCAAGAATAATACTGACTGTGAGTTTCTGCTTTTTATCTTGTGGAGTTTGTGAAATTGAGTTAAAGTTTGTCAAGTACTAAGAAAATCTTGACAAAGCAGGCAAAAACTGTCAATGCCTACTTCTCAGATTTTGCTGAACATTGCATACTTTATTTTTGAGCTGTGAGAAAACATACATGTATCTGACTAAAAACCTCTTTTCCTTCTAGAGCAAAAGAGAGTCATCTACCTTCCTGCACTAGATCGATGACTGCAGATCCCTCCTTTCCAGTACTCTGTCCTCTAGGAACCGTGGTCTCCTCTGTCCCCCGTAGACTCAACGCCAGTCCTCGAAGCTCTTGACCACACCCGCAACATACATGGGTAATACAGGATTGAGTATTTATGGCAGAAAGATCGGAGCCACAAAATTTTCTTTGTCCTTTGACTCCAAAAAGACTGTCAGCTTTCAGGCTCTTTTGATGGACTCTTTTATCACATGTGGCTTTAAATACAGCTTGTCTCATGCCACACACTTCCCTACATCCCATTTGTCAATGACGATTTATGAATAGATTAGAGATTCTCAGAGCTGGAGGGAATCTTCTCATCTAGAGCAGGAATGTCTTCTACAACGCCTTTGACTTGAGCATCCAGCCTCCACTTGAACGTGAAGGGCACTTCAATATATCATATTCAAGAAACAGCCTTTCTCATTCATCTTCTTTCATGAGAATGTTTATTTTGCAAGAGCTTTGGATATCGTGGGTGCCTACAGGTAGGGTTGGACCACCCCATGGGAGCAGCCAGCAAGTTTCTACGATGGCCTATGAATGACTTGATTATTTTACACATTTTCTGGCCCGAGAGAAAGAAAAACTGCCCTGCTCTTCATGGCAACCCTGCCTGGTAGCTTGGAATCTTGGAAATATGCCTGGTTGGATCTATGGAGGTGGTCTCACCCTTTCTGTCTTTGTGGGAAATTAAGAACAATAATTATCAGACAATATTATCACCTGCAGTGGAACTACAGAGACCTGGACCCAGCTGCGATGTTTTAATGTAAAAATAATAGTATGTTTATGTCTCAGAAGAGATTTTGCTTCTAATTTCTGCCTTTCCTGTACTGGCTTATTGTAGCTGGGCATGACTCACCTTCCCCCATGTGCTTATACATAGGCGCTGGGAATAAATAAAAGCCCCACCGAGAGGATTAACATGCCCTTGATGCTCCTTACTGTCCCCAGCACCCAAGAGTCCTCACCTTATTCAATGCTTGTCCTGCTGCTTGTCCTAGGGATGTCATTCACTCACACATCTGTCCCACTTCTCCGACCCTGCTTGACTGTACACCTCAGGCCTGATACTTCCAATTTTGAAAACTGGCTTTCATCCTGCACCTCAGGCTTGACCTCTGCCCTCCCTTGACCTTGACTGTGACATCTGCCCTTTGGCTTTAATCATCAAAGTCACAGATAAAGACACTCTCAGTGTACCAGGCCTCTAAGAATGCACCTGCTGGGCTTCTTCCTTGCTCCACTGTCCCTACCTAAACCCATGGATTAAACTCCTACTGTACTTCTCTCTTTTCTGGTGCCCGTTGAGTTACATAAGAGCACAATTGTATTATATTTATTTTGTTTTTAGGGTTGCCATGGGCAATTTCCATACCATCTTTTAAGGAGTGCTACACTGTGAAGAAAACATATGCAAGTCTATTTCTGGAATGGTTTCTTCTTATAATTAGAATAGTTAGGGCCGGGCGTGGTGGCTCACTCCTGTAATCCTAGCACTCTGGGAGGCCGAGGCGGGTGGATCATTTGAGCTCAGGAGTTCGAGACCAGCCTGAGCAGGAGCGAGACCTCATCTCTACTAAAAATAGAAAGAAAATTAGCTGGACAACTAAAAATATATAGAAAAAATTAGCCAGGCATGGTGGTGCATGCCTGTAGTCCCAGCTACTTGGGAGGCTGAGGCAGGAGGATCACTTGAGCCCGGGAGTTTGAGGTTACTGCGAGCTAGGCTGACACCATGGCACTGTAGCCTAGGCAACAGAGTGAGACTCTGTCTCAAAAAAAAAAACAAAAAAACACAAAATAGTTAGGGTGTAATATATTTTTGGGTGGGCACTTAAAGTGAAAAGCACATATTTACATAGGTACAGGTGATGTATCTTTTTTTCTCTCTCCCTTTTTACACTAACTGGCCAGACAGCAGGTGATGTATCTGTGTAAACATCTCTTGACTGCCATCAAACAGTACTCTTATCAAAGACATGGATGGCCAAAAGCCTCTTTGTGCTCCCAGGGCTTGCCCTACACCTAACACATAATATGCCCAAATGGATGAGGAAGAGGAGGGGGCAAGGACTAGAATGGGACGACAAAACATTCTGTTACGTACTTGCAGCATATATATATTTCTCCCGGAGGATTTTATAATATAAAATTCATATAATCAATTATATATCAATTGTATATATTATAATTTTATATAATATAAAATTATAAATGGTGATTTTTAAAAATATCTGAAATTTTGCAACTTTCATTTTACTATAGGTGGTTGAAAATTATATTATTTCTTAACAATAATTGCTTCCTTAATTCATGTTTGTTGATTACAGATGCTCAGTAATCAGAATCTATGAAATATTTGATACCATAATTTAAACATTAAAAACAAAGAACCGTGCTATTACCACAATTATTTTTCGGCTTTGAACTGCCTTTACTGAATATTTTGGATCTAAAACACTGAATGAGAAAATTGTTCAACTCCGTTCTTCTTTTTTTTTTTAAACTCCATTATATTTATTACCTGCTTTATTATTTTTTTTTTTTTAAGCACATTCAGACCAAGACATAGTACATTTAAATGGCAGCTGTGACAGGGAGGAAGAGAAGGCAGTTTGGAGAGCTGTGGGAAAGTCAGGCAAGGTTTTCCTGGGCCAGGAGCCTCCGTCGAGGGGGCCTGGCCTTCTTTGCCTCTCTCCTCTTGCTACCACTATTTCCCAGTTCCGATCCTTCCCTATTGCTCAGGAACTACTTGGTTTTTCTTTTTCTATTTTTGGCCTGAGAGAAGATTGATTTGCACTTGTGGCCATGCAGAACAGTCGTCCACTAGGGAGGCCAGTTGATCATTTTCGGGCAGGGTCCCAGAGAGCAGTCACATCTTATTTGGATCACCACTCTCTGGGGGCTCTGTCCTCACACGTGCAGGTCAAGTGTCCCCGTGGGTGATGAGATGGATATATAAGGTGGAGTGCCATGCATTAGTTTACTGTGAGAAACGCAATTGCCAAGTGGGTCAGGTGTTTGTCTCAGCTGGTCAGTGCATCTTCCAGCAGGAAAGTCTACATGAGAACGACTAAATCACAGTGAGGAGAGTGCTTGGTGACCCCAGAATTGGTGCAGGGGGACACATTCTTGCCTGTTAGCCCCCCTTTCTGGGGTTTGCTATTTTTTCCCACACAATTTATTAGTTCACAGTGTCCTCCAGGGAGAGGAGGGAGTTGTCTGAAGCCATGTGCTGCGGAGAGCGGAGCTAGGAGGGAGCACAGGTCACCTGTCTCCCAGCCCAGGTGTCTCGCACTTGACTGTGTTGCCCTTCTTAGAGAACGACTCCACTGCCCTTCCTGAACTGCCTCTCTTTCTTTGGACATTGCCAGCTTTTAGCCCTTTATCTCTCTGTAACATCTCTGTGTCTCCGTTTCACTCTGGCTTTCCTTTCTCCAATATCTGATTGCCCCAAACCTTATAGGCTATGTAACAAATTCCAAAGCCTAGTGGTTTAAAACAACACTTTTTAAAATTTTCTTTCATAATTTCTATGGGTCAAGACTTTGGGTAGGGCTTGGATAGGCAGTTCTGGCTTGTGGCTTCTCATGGAGTTGTAGGCAAGAGGTGGCTGGAACAGATATGGTGCAAGACTGGAGCAGCCAGGGCTGGTGGCCGGGCATCTTTCTCTGTGTAGGCTCAGGGACTCTCCATGTGATCTCTTTGGGTTAGTTTGGGCTTCCTCACGGCATGGCAGCCTCGGGGCAATCAAGCCACTTACATGGCAGCTAGCTTCCCTCAGAGTGAGTATCCCAAGAGATCAAGGCAGAAGTGCATAGGGTTTCTATGACCCGGCCTTGGAAGTGACACTTTTGCAACTTTTTCCGTATTTTAATTGATCAAGGAAATCACAAAATCCTGCTCAGTTCAGGTAGAGAGGACATAGACTCCCACACTCACTGGAAAGATTGTCTTATATTGTAAGAAGAGCATGTAGATGGGAGATATTTTGTAGACATTGCTGAAAAGATAGAATCTGCTAGACCTGCAGAGCCCCTCCATCATCTCCCCATTCCACCCTTTGCTGCCTAGGGTAGCTGTAACAAAACCATGATATACGTGCCTTGGAACAACGGAAATGTATTGTCTCACAGTTCTGGAGGCCAGAAGTTCAAAATGAAGGTGTTGGCAAGGCCATGCTCCCTCTGACAGCACTAGGGAAGGATCTGTTCCTGGCTTCCCTCCTAGCTTCTGGTACTCCCCTGCATAACTTGAGTCTTCATTTGGTTTTCTCCCTGTGTGCATATCTCTCTGCAAATTTCCTTTTTTCATAAGGACATCAGTCATTTGGGTTGGGGCCCACCTACTTCAGTATGACCTCTCCCTAACTAATCACATCTGCACCAACCCTACTTCCAAATGAGGTCACATTCTGAGGTACCGGGGGCTAGGACTTAAACATGAATTATGGGGGGACACAATTCAACCCCTACGACACTTCTACCCAACCACCTCTGTAGGCTCCCCTCAGGCCACCAGGGCTCCTCTCACTCCAGTGGATCCTCTAGCAGTTCACAAATCGAGACGACCAAATGAACTCGCCCCACGGTGAGACTGACTGGTCGTTCGCCTTGGCTCACTCTCCGTCAGAGGAGTTGAGTCCAGTGAGTCTGTGGAATTTGGGATGGCTCGGGGGTTATGGGGAGGGGGCAGGTGCGCTTCCTTTAAATCACAACATTTAGTTGTCTTCCAGGTATAAGGCTCACCCCCCACCCCAACCCCTGCAGGACAGGACAGGGAACAGTGCTCCTGGCCTTCAGCTGCCATCCCTGACGGGGAAGGAGCCGCCCAGGGCTCTGCCTTCCCACCAGCCTCTCCAGAGCTGCGGTGTCTGGCGCTGCCCTCTTTGGTTCTTGGAACCGGAGGGGAGATGCTGATGCCCTTCAGTAGGTGAAGTATCAGTCCAGACCCCGGGACCCCAGGGTCTCCTGGATGTGAGATTTCTGGAAACACTCACACTGTGGGGGCCCTGCTGAGGAGGAAGCCCCACACTGGCTGGAGGGGACACAGCCAGGCTTTCACTGGAGCCTCCTGCTCCAACAAGCTCCCTTCCTGCTTCCCGCAGCTGGTGTGGCTGAGCAACGAGGACACGAAATTCAGCGCTTACCATGCAGCAAGATGACGCCTGCACATGCCATTAAATGTGTCTTTGTTGTAAACCTTGTTGAATTACAACACTAAACTCTGCCC